ATCAATACACTGTTATAGATCAGTGGCCTTGTACAATTCAACAATTCTCAAGATGCTCCTATTCTACTGCTCTGCAGCTGTCTGTGGAACAGGAGGCAAAGATAAAACCCAGCAACTGGAAAAAAAGGCCTGTTCTTGTAACTACAAACTTGGCATACCTGTAAATCATCTTTAGCTTGATATTGAAATCCACTAAAAAGCAGGCACTGTATTTAATCAGATTCATTATGATTCAAGATTTAAGGGACTAATGTATATGGGTCACATTACTACAGAAATATCTCATATCCAACAGTAACAACTCAAAGGAAGAACTGAGGAACACACAGCCTGAAGCACTAATAATGCAAGGACTGGCTGGTGTGTTGCATTTTTATTTAGCAATTACTTCATATTCCAGGTGATTTGGCCTGACTAATATATGATTCTTAATGCCAGTAAAGCTCTCTCTACTGGGGAAATCCTTACGGGCTTTTTTCAAGGACACATTGGGTTTATACCACCTCAGGAGATGAGCTTAACTAGTCAATAGAACAGCTTAGTTGTGTGGGTTTTTTTAAAGTTTAAAAGGCTTACTGTTGCATTAACACATAAACACCACAAAATAAATGCACTGTACTTCTGCAAGGAGCTCTGTAACAACTTGGTAGAGCATGCATACATACATGAGTTTGTATGATGGTAAGGGATGACCAAACAGAACTTACTTTTCACAAAAAGAAAATCTGGGTTTGTGACAAAGCAAGGTGAAATAATAACCACAGGATTTTAAAAAGCCAGTCTGGCAATGATAGTGAGAGTGTAGTTGTAATCTTACTTGGCAACTGATAGGTAGTTCTGGTGATTATTAAAAGCAACTGGAGAGGCCTCTCCAGAAGGAAAACTATTTTCTCTTCTAGTTATCCTTTATAAAAACATCAGCCTGCTCGGTAATGAATCTGAAAACACATGACACGTTCAGGAACAAACATCTCTTGAGCCTTTTATTCAGGGAGCATCTCTCAAGATTGAAAGGAGACCACTACTTACGCTCTTTCGACCATCCACTAGCTAGCAAGTCATCTGTTTCTGACGCAATGATGACTCTGATGTCTGTGAGGCAAGCACCTGTGTGTTCTTATACACCAACCAGTTAAAATCACTTCGGAGGGGTCACTGAAGAATCCTTGAATGGTAAAACCTGCCAGTTCAAATGAACCTCTAACAGAGAAGCTCCCATTGTCTAGCACCTGCGCTGTTTGGTCCCATTTACTAAAGAGGTAAGATATAAAGCACAGTGGCTGCAAATGCTTACACATTTAAAAGAGAGAGGCTATCACGATTAAAGCTGGCTCAGAAAACAGTACTTGGAGCTGAGTATTTCAGCATTGAGAACTACAGAGTCACTGCTAAAACACAGAAAGGAGCATGACTGAGAAAGTTGTAGATCTTCTTAGGAGGCTCAGTCCAGCCCAGAAGCATAGTTCACGAAACACCGAAATTCATTGGCTAAATTTCGTGCATGTTTTGGAATAAACTTGCAAATCTTCACCCCGAGATGCTTTGCTGCCTGTTCCTCCATGATTGCACCTGCGGCAAAAATAATTAGCATTTGATGAGAAAAACAGTAACAGAATGTCTGGGATTTTTTAATAGCTCCTCCCAAATGCATATAAAGCGAGCCTGCTTCTTTTAAGGAGGCAAGGCTTAAAGCAGCTACACTGTCAGCCCTCTTTAACAACCGAATCTACTTGGAAAGGAGAATAAATCTGAAAGAATGGAAGATGCCCCAAGGAAATGAATGCCCATGAAGTTTCATGAAAGTAGCTGGAGGGTAAGCTCAGTGTCTCTTTTATGGAAAACAGAAATGAACTCCATCTTCTTGCTACAATGCCAAAGAAATTACATGGTAAGGAGCCATGGGAAATGCAAACAGATTACATATACTCTTCCACTTAAATAAACTGCAATGCAGTATTTACAGCTACACACTAAGAAATCACTTCCTTGAGGAGCATTTCTCAAACTCTGTAAACTTAAGGACCACCTACCCATTTTAGGGAAAAAATTGTGAGAACCATCCTTGTGTGTGACTGCCATGTGCAATTAAGCAAAGAAGGTTTTCCATGGCCACATTCTTCTTCATTGTGGCTGCTTGGTTGACTTCCCCCACATTATATGTATAGAGGGTTTTTGTCCTTTGGGGTTTTTTTGCAAAAGTTTCCTGGATGTCTTCAGATGTCTTGTAATAAGATTAGAGTTTAAGAAACACCACGACTGCAGCAGATACTCATCATTCCTTAAAACAGCAAATGCACCTCCATAAAGAAGGTCTTGCAAGTACAGTCGGTAAATTACCTAGTTTCACTGCTCTTATCACTGGTTTTTAATTCCTCCTGCTGTATTTCAGTGCCCAAGATCTCCTCGCTTGAATCACAGTGGCAGAATCTCCCTCACACATTCATTCATGTTACAACTCATGTGTGTACCAGTAAGGATAGGTAATATGGGGTAGGGGGAAGTTTACTTTGGATTTCTTTTCAAGACTTCGCTAAAATCATCCCACTTTACTCAGCAAAGGCCATTCCAACCTATTTGTCATTCTTTCTACTTAGCTCACCTTCGATGCTAAGTAGTACATGGCAGCTGAAGTCCTGTAGCTACTGACATGTTTAAAAAAATCACAAATTCTTAAGGTTATTCAGTAAGACATTACCAGTAAGTTGCACCTATCTTTGTAATACCCAGTTTATAGACAGTGGCCTTTTACAAGAAAAAAATACTTCTAGAAATCTGCAGGATGATCTTGTAATTCTTCAAAGATTTAGTGAAACTCAGAATGCTGTATGAAGAAAGTACTGACTTCAACTCTTCAAAAACACATACCTCAGTTTTAAATAAAGGTTGAATTAAAGTATTCCAATAAAAAGCTTAGGATACATATTCCTCTTTGAAGTAATGATACATTAGTATTACTGAGTTAATAGTTTTCTCACTTGAGAAAGTTTCGTCTTTTGAGAGAGAAAGATGCTTAATGGTGACCTAGTATTTTTATTAACTATACCCGTGCAAAGCAGAATCTTTCCTTTTGTTAAATATTTGATGGTCTCTGCAGTTTTTTGAAGACATTCCTCAGACAGATAGGGTGGATCTGCTATGACGATGTCAAAACTGTGTGGCAGGAGATTTTCAGGTAAGTTCAAAGGGTGGTTGTAATCATAGAAGATAAATTCTTCTCCATATACAGAAAACCTTCTGTCATACTCCAGTATACAGACTGAAAAAGCTTTACCATGCTGTTCTTTCAGTTTCTGGTACACACTGGGTACACTAACACATGCTATCCTGAAAAAGAGACAACAACTGAGAATATTCATTTAAAAGGCAAACAACAGCAAAAAAACCCAACCCTACAGCAGTCCTACAGCTGCTTTGGGAAAACATTTTAAATATTAGCCCCAGAATGTAAGCTATTCATCCTCCATTCTAACAAATAATTACTTTAATAGTAGAGTTTTAAGCATTAAAGCCATTTATTCAGCCTCTGTGCTACACAACTTAAGCTTAATTACAGAGAAAATATTGTTTCAGAACAGCAAGGAAATATACTTGAAAACTTAAACCTGACTCCTTACAGAAATAGGAAGAAAACCAAGTTTCTCCATCTGTTCTGCAGAAACATTGTATGAAAACAGAGAAAAAGGATTACAGATCATTGATATGCTCTGGAGCTCTCTCAAAAAAGAAGAGATTCACAGTAAACTTGTACAAGGCAGAGCCTACAACATTCGATGAAATGCTAAAAGGTAAGATCAGGATGAACTATTATTTACACAAATAATAGCAAAGCATTTGTGCAATATCTCAACTGAACAAAGATGAAGTACAATGAGTAATGAATTACACTGCATAGCAGAAACAAAGTATTTACAGAAAAGACAAGTTGGATCTCTAACGTTACTATTGAAACCTACCTGCCACCTTTCCCAGCTGCCACAACCGCTTCGTTAGCCAGGCGTGATGCGGTTTCATCACTGTACCAAAACTGGCTCAGTTGCTGAGAAAGAGAACACACAATTACAAACAATATCAAATCTTTGGACTGTGCTATGTGCTGTTAGGTGTGGTGAATTGTATTTGAAGAAAAACAAAATCCATAGCAACTTGTCAGTTCACCAACTGGTAAGCTGGAAAAATGAGTATTTTCCTGACAATCTGTTTACCTCTGTAATGTGGGGACATGCAGCAGGAAGCTTCCACTGGGTGTTTCCAAAGCATTTACTGCAGTATCAGGAAAACCAAGTAATGCAAGATCACTGAAGAAGTTAGTACAAACCCAGTGTGCAGATGCACAGTATTTATGTGTTCTTAAATTTTTAGTGGAAGAGGAAAAAGGAACTTGAAAAGTGACAGTATAGAAGGAAGTAACGGATAAAAGTATTAAATCAGAAGAGATCAGAAAAAAAGTAAAAAACCCCCCAAAAACCAGAGGCAAACCAAGAATCAGTCTGTCAGAAGAAAAAATAAAAGCAGCAAAGCAACCATCCACAAAAGCAAAGACGTAAACCACAGAATGCAATACAATGTGAAAGGAAAGATCACTTGATCTTGTTACTCAGTGCTTGTCTCAAACCCTGGGAAGAATCTTTTCTACGTTCACATTCCAGGCTGGAGTTAAAATTTCCAGAAGGAATAGATGTTTTAGATGTTTCTGTTAGCAGCTTTATTGTCTCTCCATGTTGTACCCCTTTCTCCACCCCTCCCCCCTCCCCATGTAAGACAGACAAATATATCCAGATTTAACATTAAAGCAAATATCCCTAGCGTTGCTGTCCATAATAGCTTGATTTTGCTACTCTAGGAACATCTTTGAGTGTTCCCCTTTTTAATTTAATTTCATTATCCAACCACAAAAGAAACTCAGTAAAGGTTACTCCTCTAACTGTGCTTCATGCACTGAAGTTTATAGTTTCTTACCCAGTCTTCTTCTATTGAGCCAATGGAATATTGATTAAACCCTTGGGAGGTCTTCATGCCCTCTCTCTGCTGCTGTTCCAAATAGAACTCCTGGAGCGCAGCCAGCGTATGGGATGAAAGCTGGGGAATGTCATCACCTTCATCATCCATTTTTCTAGATGTCAACCAGAGAAAAAAATGTAATTAAATTAACCCTTTTCCATGGTGAATGCTTTAAATGATGGCACAGTCTCATGAGGTACAACAACCTTCACTGACAATGCAGACTCAGCCTAACAGCTAACTAGAAAAATCTCCTGACAAGAGAAAACATATTCTCTCTATTTAGGAGCTCTTAAACAAGTGAGAGGATGATTAGAAATAACACGTCTCCAGAGAGAATTTAAGAACAGCAGCAAGAGTGTTCCTTTTCTATATTCCATACAGATTTGGCTTGTATTCTTGGAGGGAAGTTGTCATTACGTTCCCGATTTCCTGAATCTGCACAACTTTTCTGTATCGGGGGAAAAAAAAGAAAGAAAAAAGTGGGGGGGGGAAGGCAAAAAACTTCAGTGGATATGGCAAATCCTATAGGAACTGTTCCCTTTATCCTGTAAACAATGATAGGTACTGGTCATTCTTTTCCATATTCAAAAGTCACACAATTCTGACTCAAAATGAAGAAACCTGGCTTTAACTTCTGTGCCATAAAAAGATTCCTCTGAATGACAGAAACCTTCCACAAGCAAAAGCAGGCAAGAAACTCATGATGTTTTCCTAAGACAACACTACTCGACCAAACTTGTGTATTTTGTGATAACTCGTATCAAAAAGACACAGTATATGCTACCAGAAAAGTACAGCCCCAGTACAGCGCACACACAGACATACAGCACAGAGACCTGGGTTATGCTGCGCAGCATCACTTCACCCTGCTCACCCGGACTACTAAGCAACATCCAGGGGAAAGCTGTGGGCCCTTCCCAGAAGGGACAGTGCCACCTCGTGGAACGAAGGTGACGAAAACAGGACCCTGCATGGGAAAAGTACTGGAGAAAACTGGAAAAGATTCTTCTCTCGAGAAACCCATTTTCTCTGCTTCTGATCTAAGAATTAGTGAGTGCACGACCAATGACTTTAACAGAGCTTGGAAGTGGGCAGACGCCTGCCTTTTGCAGAAGTCACTGGGAGAACCGTGTGCCATCTGAACTGTGTGCAACTTCAGAAGCCAAGTATGATTTCAAGTACAGCTGTCCACAGTTTTTCTTCTCCCCATTCCCTGGGTAACAGGAACTCCAGAATCCACAACCTCCTCCCCTTCCACCTTTCCCTCCGTGCTGCTTGCCCTAGCATAGCTTTCAAGACTTTTCCTGAAACACAGCTGCTCCCTAATTGCTGGAAAAACGGTACTATCAACCTGTGAGATAACGCATCAGAATTCACTAATTACTCTGCTATTCCACTGACACAGCACACACCTACTAAGAGTAGGTGTGTACTAGGAGTAAGGTGTGTGCTAAGAGTAAAGCTCTTGGCTTTTCCAGAGTATCATTTATCTTCTATGAAGACAGGCTTAAGAGAGTTGGGCTTCTTCAGCCTGGAGAAGAGAAGGCTCCAGGGAGATCTTGGTATGTAAAGGAGCCTACAAGAAAGCTGCAGAAGGACTTCTGCAAGGACATGCAGAACTAGAACAAAGGTAATGGTTTTAAACTGAAAGAGGGTGGATTTACATTAGATCTAAGGAAGAAATTCTTCACTATGAGGGTGCTGAGGCTTTGGCACAGGTTGCCCAGAGAAGCTGTGGCTTCCCCATCCCTGGCAGTGTTCAAGGCCAGGTTGGACAGAGCTTAGAGCAACCTGGTCTAAGTGGAAGCTGTCCCTGCCTGTTGCAGGGGGGTTGGAACTGGATGAGCTTTAAGGTCCCTTCCAACCAAAACTATTCTATGATTCTATGACTTGCTGGTCAACCTTAAAACAAGGGACGTACTGTGCTCTGCTCAGTAGAGGTGCTGGGGGAGTTCTGTCCCAACCATAGTAAAAGCACAGACAGAGAAAAGATCTTTCCTACTGGAAATAATCTTTCAGATCTTTAAATCCTAAAAAGAGTTGATTGTCAGATCTGACAAGATACTGGGAGTATCGCCAAATGCACTTTCACAGGAATGACTGACAGGACAAAGTGTATGGAATGTATTGGTCTAAAGTACTTTAGACAAAAAAAAAATAAAAAATCCTCCTGCCAGCTAGCGTGGTGTAGCCTGAAGTACCAGAGGAATGCTGGGCCATACCTGCATCTGTTTTGCAGAGTCCTCCAATGCAAATCAAAACTTCTCAAACATCCAAGAAGTCATCCTCAAGCACAGGCAGCATCAGCAGCTTGTTCCCTGGCAATCAACTGAGAAAAGCTAAAGAAATTCACGTCTTGGGGCCCAGGTGCCATGAAACAGAATGGCCTCTGAGCAAGACAGCCAAGTCAAGGGACGTCAAAAAAGCAGAAGTGACAAACCTTCACATAAGCCTGAAGCTGTTTTCTTACATACTCATGGTTTTGTGGAGGAGGGAAAGAGGGACAAGGCCGGATTTGTGGACCTGGACCAGCTCACCTACCACAGATCTGAGAACAGCTCCATTTCAGGATCAAATCTGGAGAACTTTTTGTTAACATCATGGCAAATGGTTCAAGAAGAAAGCTGTGCTAGTTCAAAGAAAGGGCAGATGGTGGTCATTCTTCTACCCTGTAGTGCTGATACTGGCAATTATCCTATCCTGAAGGCAGCCAAAAGCAGCTGTCCCAGAAGGAATAAGATAAGGCGAGTATATGTGGTACCTCCCCACTCTATACTCTCCCAGACTTTAACCATTTTCCACTAAGGCAGTTGTTTCTGCACCTGAAGTGATTTATTCTGTGAACGCAGTTCTCTTAGAGATACCTGCCCAGTATCCCTAAAATTCACATAAAGTTTTTAAATCTATAATGTCAGCTGCGAAGAAGTTTTGTTTTATGTTTTGTTTCTGTGAACATGGCTACTAATATCACGTGATGCAAATACTTTGTGTATCAGAAGAGAAAGCAAACGGCTGAGCTCTTAGACACTCTGTGCACACCACTCCATGAGTCGTTTCACAGCCACCTGTAGGTCATCCCCCATCCCTCACTCCACAGGTTGGCACTTTTCTAGCTGAAGGGTCTTAACCCACTCCACTGACTGGCTGACAAAAGTCTATCTGTGCATTTGCTAATCCTTGTTAAACACTTCTAATATACCCAGTTTTTGAGATAAGGAGACTAGAATTCTACATAATATCTAAGATAAGGGTGATCACACATTTATGCGGTCATTTAATGATATTTTCTGTTACAGTCTATTTCTTTTCCTAAAAAATTCTACCATTTGATGCATTTCTCTGGCTGCCACTGAACACTAATAGGATGTTTTTGGAGAATCACATATCACAACTCCGAAGTCTCCTGCCTCAGTGGCAATGGTGACCAATGAGAACATTGATTAAGGGGAATTTAAAAATAAATTAAAAGGATCTGTCAAGAGCTCTGAGATACCAGCACATACTGTACAAAACTAAACAGCAGTTCTGGTCCCTTAGCTCAACAAATGCAGAGAGAATTCTGAAGCTAGAAAAGGTTCCAGAATGGTAGAGAGACACACAAAGATCAGAACAGCTTTTACAGGGGAGTAAGTGCAAGGAAGAAGTACCTGAGAACGCATACGATGAGGTAATGTGAGAAGGGGTGTGACAGAGCCTCTGATCGTGAGTGCCATGGACACCACTGCCAGAGATCCACTGTTTTCCGAGGCAAGAACTAGAAGGCAACAAGCGTGGTCTGCTAGAGCCTGGTTCAAAAGAAGTCAAAAAGGGCTAGCTCGTGACACATGGTGCTCCTGAGCTACAAGGATCCCTGTCAGTGACAAGATTTCATAGTGCTTCAAAGTCACACAAGCGTTTACAGATGAGAGGCTTTCAGAGGATTAATAAATACATAGGAACTGCACTGGAATCAAAAAATAAGGTGGGGAAACCAGGTGAATACTTGAAGGAGAAGGGCAGTATGATGTGTTCTAGTCCAACCCTCATCCTTTTTAATAAGCACGGTCAGAGAGGGATTGTAAGCTGGATTCGACCGCTGTTATCCTCCGCTGGTAACACTGATGAGGGAACGCTGTCAGCTCATAAAAAAGGCCCCTTTTTTCTGCTCCCTTTTGTGTTTTAACTGCTTTGAGAACCCACTGCCGGCACCTACCGCTCGCGCTCTCCTGCTGCGCAGGCTCCGCTCCGGCCCGGGCGCGCTCCCCGCCCTCCGGCCGCCCC